AAGTCTGTGGTTTTGCCAAGAATGTGGAGTTTTTCCCCCCCCCCCCCTCTCTCCAACCCGACCGTGTATGCAGTCTCATGTTAGCTACCAGCCTTTCGACGTGGAGGACTACATACCGCCGAAATGAACGTCATGTCGGCAGAAATGAATGCGCTGTGTGTGAGCGCTGATGAAAATCTGTCGCCCCCCCCCCGACCCCCCTTCCAACCCGACCGTGTATATCAGGGGCTCATGTGAGCTACCAGCCTTTCGATGTGGAGGACTACCAGGACGCGGCCTCTGACGAGGACGGCGACATACCCATGCAGTTCCCCCCGATCTCGGAGACGGCCGACGACAGAAAGAACTGGCCCAAGTCGTGCCCGTTCCTGCACATGAAGTTCGAGGAGATGGCAATCAAGGTTTGTCCTGGCGATGATGCTCTGTATGTGTTTTTTTGTTTGTTTCAGTTTTGGAGACGCAGTATGCACGGTGTTGCTGTTGCTGCTTGGGGAAGATGGCCGTCGAGGTTTTGATTGGGTGCATGGTGTTGGTCTTGCTGCTGGGAGGAGATGGTCATCGGAAGGTTTGGTGGCGCACTTGGTGTTGTGTTGCTGCTTGGAGGAGATGGCCATCAACGTTCATGCGCGTGCATGGTGTTTTTGCTGTTGGTGTTTTTGCTTGGAGGAGGTGGCCATCTGGGTTAAGCGTAACCAACCAAGATCGTATCACCCCAACGACCGCGTGTTTGCACCCTGCGGAATCCCCTCGCAAGACCCTGATATGTGTAACAAGTGCGCTCAGCTCGCACATCATGTGTTTTTTTGTTTTGTCCTCTCTCTCTCTTCCTTCTATCCCTCCCCCTCTCGTTGCAGGACAAGCGGAAGTTCATCTGGCTTGCGTACAACTTCTGGCACTTCTTGGTGTGGACGCTGCTGTTCAACATGTGCGCGGCGGTGGTGACGTCTCTCATCTCGCCCTCCCCGAAGGAGGACCAGGCAAGTTTTTTTTTTTTTCACGTTTTTTTTTTTTTGAATCGATTTCACAGCAGTACACTCGAACGCGGCAACGATATCGAGAGCCTTGAACAACCCAAATGAACTCTCCTTAGGAGTCCCAATCGGACGTGCTGCTACAGCAGCCTTGTCTCCGATATATAAGAGAGGGTACTTGTTCGAGGTGGCTCCGATTAAAGAGAGTCGAAAGGAGTTGTGACGGACGCGACCCCCTGTAGTATAGTTGGGTCCTCTCTTATTCCGGTGTCAGAGGGGGCTCCGATATGTGAGGGTCGAGGGCCTTCGTCACACCATCCTCTATATTACAGCCACGACTGGGATTCTAAGATAATCTAGAAAAAGAATTGGGAGGGGGCACGCAGACCGTATCCCTAACCCTAGCCCTAACCCCAAAGCACGGATTCAATACTTTATCCCATATGTTTGCTTAGTCAAAGTTTGCTGCGTAGACTACTGCTGCACGGTACACCTTCACAGCAGTCTTGTCTATCAGTAGCGATTTCAACCCCCGCAGTCTTCCCTCTGTGGATGAGGTTGTTCGTGTCTGATGTGGGTGAGATGTGCGCCCCGCTTTAGAGGTTGTATACATCACAGTAAAAAAAAAAAAACATCATAGTGCGCGTGAAGAGGGGTGTCTGATAAAGTTAAGGTTTTGTTTTTGTGGCGCCTAATGGCTTCGCTTTTTGGAGCACCATGCATGATGGTTGGGACCAGCGTAACTGCAGACTACGGCTGCACCGTTATGTATCTCTTTGATATGAGCTTGTCGCGATGGCCGTAAGAGATTATGCCATGTCTTCTATGCGACTTCCTTGGCGTTGATGCGCGATCGCCCGTGCAGGTGTTCTTCGCGTTCCTGCTGGCGTTCATCGGGTTCTGGTGGTTCTTCTTTGGGCACTTCCGACTGCTGTACCACGCCATGAGGTACCATGTTTTCATGCAGGCATGCAGAGTGGACGGTTACTGTTACTGCTGTTGTTCTAGATGGGCTAAGCTGCGCGATTGCCTCCGTGCTTTAGCTCCAATTTTATTGTCGCTAGGCGTGTTTTTTTACTCGAACAGCCCAGCGAACCTCAAAAGAGAGAAGTTTACAAAATCTGTGTACAGTCTTTTCGTGTCTTTTGGGAGCACTTGTCCCCGGCACATGTGGTGGCCGTTTTGGCCACGCGTTCGCGCTGGGGCTCGAGGTCGTAACGTGCGGTGCGTGGTGTGTAGAGAACAAACACACCAGGCTCAACATCCTCTGGCGATAAAAGTTTGCAGGATGGGGTAAGATATCGGGGGGTGTGAAGAGACCGGGCAGTTGACCCACCTGTACATGTGCGCGGGTTAGCTTGGGTCCCACTGGCGCACGGTGGCTTTAAGCTGGAAGGACAGGCTGCATACCGCGCCGTCTCGTCATGCTGCTGTGTCGTAACGCTTGGGCGCCACCACCGTAAAAGCGGCCTGTACGCTCAGCTATTGCTACCGGTGGTATGTACTGCTCCGCCAGACAAGAGTGCCATGTGTTTCGTGGAAGTATGTACACCCGTAAACTACGTAGTATGGATAAAACATGTGCCACCAGCTCACCGTGAGAGCTCTGGATGTGTGTTGTTCATGCTGTATTTTTGCTTAATGCGTGTTCCCCGAAATGATTTGAAATGATTTGATGTTAACCTTAGGTACCGCAAGAACGGGCTGTACCTGCTCCACCAACTGGAGACCACGGTGCTCTTCTTCATCGCGGTCTACCAAATATTCTCGGCGATGGGTAACATGACGCAGGTAGGTTTTCTCTAATGTCTTGTTGTTTTTGTTTTTATTGTTGTTTGTTGTTGTTGTTGCTGCTGCTGCTGCGCCTGTGGTTGCTGGTGCGCTTGGTCCGGCAGTAGCAGTTGGGTGCTTGGACTTAATGTTTCCCGCTGCTGCTGCTGCTGCTGCTGCTGCTGCTGCTGTGACTGGTGCTGCTAGTGTGGTTGCTGGGGCCGGGTTGTTGCCACTGCTGTGTTGCTCTCTTCTCCTGATCGTTGAGGTTGTAACGATGGTCAATTTTCTCATTGGTCGTTACCGCTGTCGTCGTGAAGCAGCGGTGAAAAATCATAACCTTTTAGTAGTCGCAAACCCGCCTCAGATCTGCGCGCCTTTTCGTGACGTCGTGCAATCAACTGCCGTGGGTTTTCTGCAGTCCATGCGGTCAATAAAGGTGTGCAGAGTTTTACCCCCACAGCCTTCAACCCCTTGGCTAACAAACGCACGGTCGTTCCCGCCCGTGTTGCCCCCCCTCTCACGGCTTATGTCATTTTGCGGCGAAACCCCGGTCTTTTCCGAAACGACACTTCCGAAACGACACTACTCTACGCACGGTGAGCGCAGCTGCTGGCACCGCTGGCGCCGGGGTCCGCAGTGCCGGTTCGGCAGAACCCCATGGCTGGAGTGATTCTGCTCGGCATCGCCAGCGGGCTTTGGTTCGTGGTCCTGATGTTCTGCTTCTACTTCATCCGCAAGGTGACTATAATACTTGTAGGCGTAGGTAGATTCGGCAGCCGTGTGGTTAAAAACTGGCGGTACAGTAGTGTTTTTTTTTATGTGACTCTCCTCGTTCCGTCTGTCGTGTTTGTCCCGGTTCTTCTGCGGTATGGGCCAAGGTTGTCCGCAACGTGCGTGGTGGTATGATTCAATTGCTGTCGGATGCTTGGTCCTTCGGGTATGTTCAGGCAACAATAACGAAGACGGTTGGTTCCCTTTTACCCTACAGTTGTGCTTCAAGATATATATATATACCTCGTCCCCAACACGGGCGCCACGGCATGGTTCATTAAATGCAACAAAAAATGGATTCCGGTCTCTCTGGTGTCGACCAAGCACATGCCGTGACTGTTGTACTATGTGCCAAGTCGTATATTTGCGTCTTTTTGCGGAGACCCCCTTCATATAGGGTACAATCTTCGAACGTCCATTGAGGATGATTCCTTCTTTTCACATTTTGCGTAGACGTTTTTTTTTTTCGCGCGACCAAAGCACGCCGTGACTGTTGTACCATGTACCCCCAAGTCTTGCTTATTGTTTTAAGTTGTTTTTTTTTATGCTCGGCTTGGCACGACACGACACGACACGACACGAAAAGGTCCACTACTACAAGAACCTTCCTCTGTCGATCGAAAGAGACATCTACCGCAAGGAGTTCTCTGCGATACACCCGGAGCCCAAGAAGAAGTGTTCGACCATGATCACCGACCTCTTCCGCGAGAAGCTGGACAAGGCGCACCCCCCGACCAAATGCGGCATGTTGCAGGTGAGAGAGAGAAGGAGAGACAGAGAGAGAAGAGAGAGAGAGAGAGAGACAAGCCAGAGAGACAGAGGGAGAGGGAGAGGGAGAGAGGGAGGCATAGGCAGAGGCAGAGACAGACACATAGACAGAGAGTAGGGCGGGAGCACAACAAGCAACATTGACAGCTGTTGTTGTAGTTGTTGTCTGCCGCACAAAAGTCCACGACGATAACGGGCAAGACCAACGGACACTAAATACCCATGAAGGTTTTCTATGCTCCCCGTCCCCGCCCACATGAAAAAAACTGTTGGTTTTTTAAGGCCGGAGGGCTCCTGCCAGCATGGTGTGTCTCACAAGCGTTTGGCTAAAACTTTGCTGCGGTCGAACCCCCCCCCGTCGTATCTTGTCTTCCTTCTCACACCCCCTCTGGTGTGGTTGTTCCTGTCTGTCGTCCCTCCTTTTGACAGGGGAAGGACCTGTGGCTGCAGGGCATGATCACGCTCGAAACGCTCTACGTGGAGTACCGGGCGGACGTGCACGTGTTCGACCACCTGGTGCACGAGCGCTTCAGCTATCAGGTGCGTGTGCAGTAGCATGCGGTACCACATATGGCTCATGTGACGCAATATACCACACCTCCAGGACTGCTTTTCAATTGTGTGTGTGTGTGTGTGTGTTTTGGCAGCATCGACCGCGATAACCGGTTGACCAATGAAAACGGGGGACGCAGGAATGTGTGGTTGCGTTGTGTGTGAAGACGTTTGAGCCGCGGCGGCGTGTGCTCCGTCGTGCTGAAAACTCTGTGTCGTATAGCCACCTCAGGACGTGCTGGCTCGTGATGAAGGCTTATGTGGATTGTGAAGGCTTAAGAAATTGTTCTTTTCTCGGTGCTTGCCCCCCCCCCCCCCCTTAGGATGTACTCGCGATCAAGACCTCGGGCAAGAGCAACATAACCTTCCAGCTGGTTCACCCCACCAAGAGGCATCTCGAGGACTTGGAGATGGAGTTCGACTTCTCCGACAAGGAAGTCAGGGACAAGCTTTACAAGGTGAGGGCAGCAAGGATTAGGATGCGTACACCGCCGACATTTTGATGAGTTATTTTTTCCGTGTACATGGGAATGTGTACGTGGAGGAAGCCAGGGACACGCTGTACGAGGCGAAAGAAATGCAGCCGACAGGCAGCAAGGATTAGGATACACCGCAGACATTTTGATGAGTTATCTTTGTTGTATACGCATGCCTGGTGTATGATAAAATATGGTATTGCGTCTCCCCGGCGGGCGTGTGTGTATAGAGAGAAAAACGCTCATTTGTTTTAATCCGAAAGAGATAAATTGCATGTCGCTTTTTTTTTTTTGTCATGACGGCGAGTGGTTCCCATGCGGCATCGGGGTCTTCCTCATTAGTGGACGTAAAACAGAGAGAACATATATATTTTTTGTGATGGTGGCGGCGCGGTGATTATTTTCCGAATATTATGATCCAAGGGGGCAGGAACTCTTCTGTGTGTATCAACGGGTTGGCTGCGTCTACCAGGCAGAAGTGCTGTGAGCGCTGATTTAAAGTGACGAACAAAGAACAAAAAAATGGCCATCTAGATGGAAGAAAAAAGCACGGTCATCTGCATTTTTGTGCGTGCAGGTCGCAACCAAGCTGTGGAGGCGGGTGGGGCGCAACTCGGACCTCCTCACGAGGGAGCGGGCGGACAAGCTCAAGAAGATGCGCAAGGTCGGCCGGGCCGCGGACATCGACGACGAGAACCCGGACCTCGTGGAGGTGCGGAGGGGAACACGAAAAAGGATGCCTCCGTGTGTTGTTGTTACTGTTATTGTTGCTGTTGACGTTGTCTATTGCTGCTGCTGCTGCTGCTGCTACTGCTGCTGCGGCTGCTGTTGGTGATTTATTACTCTACTACGGCAGCGTATTTGTGTAAAAAGGGCGCACGCTCCCAGCCGTGCATCTTTTTTCTTTTTTTTTACACGAAGACCAAGTAATTAATCTCTCCCACAGATACAGAGTACGGATTTTTTTTTTTTTTGTCTTCACTTCAAACCATACAGCAGTAGATTAGAAATGCATACATTGTGTTGTATGATATGATGACCAGCCTGTCTTTCTGTGTTTTTTTTTTCTTCGCTGGTGGCGGGGTATCCGGTCGGGGTACCCGGAGAGCAGGCGTTCAACAAGGCGAGGCGTATGGAGACCCGGGAGAGGCTGAACGACCACATGGTCACCTACAAGGATTGGCAGAGGATTCTCGAGACCGTCAAGGTGAGCGACCCAGCGTCCCGCAGCCCTGCTTGCCGTCTGCGTCTCCCAGCGACGATATTACGTAGTCGCATTGATCACGTGCCGGACCCCATATGCCCCTCTGGGCCCATTTTTTTTTTTTTCTATTGTCAGTGGCTTCTCCTCCCGCCGTTCACGACTCTCTTATATTTGCGACGGAGGTTGCTAGTTTGTTGCCAACGCATCGTGGTCGAAAGTCACTCGCAAGTGTCTTATTCAAAGTATGGCTGCGACTTTAAAAATGTGATTCGTTCATAGCCACGATTGTTGCTTTGTGCACTTCGCTTGTATTCGTTACTATTATTATAGTTTGTTTTGAAACCGATGGTAAATGTCCGTGGCTTGGTTTTGACATACTGCTTTGTGTTTTATTGTTTTAATGTTTTCCGTGGCTCTTTTTTTCTCTTGGTGCCAGATCCACGTGCTTACGGCGGGGCAAAACCTGGTCGACACTGGAGACGACTTCACCCGCATCTACCACGTCGCCCAAGGAAAGATCGAGGTGTGCACACAGACAGGACGGAGGCTGCAACATATGAGTTGTTTTCTCCGCTTTCCTTTGGAACTATGCATAAAATACGCGTAAACGTTACCTGCTATATATGCATTTTATGCTGGAGTAGACGGGAACGTTTATCACGATTCGTCACGATTCGTGGCACAAAAGGAAGCTGTGGGAAAAGAAATTAGGGGTTCTACGTCACACACACACACACCTCCCCGGCTCCGCCGCAGCGGCGGGAGGAAGGAGAGAGCGAGGCAAAGCCCGCTTCTTACCAACGAGTTTTTTTTCTTCGCTTTTCGCGTGTTTTGTTGTTTTCTGGCCCAACGTGGGAGGCGACAGAGCTTTTCTTACCAGCGAGTTTTTTTTTTTTTTCTGTGTCCGTCCGGGGTTGACAGCACGAAACACGGTGAGACATGTCTATTATTACATGCTGATGTTTCTCTTGTGTCTATAATGATTCGCGTTGCTTTGCTTCACTTGGCCCGTGTTTTTCGTCTGGTAAAACAAAACTAACAAGGTGAACGAGATCTTGGAGATTGCCGGGGGAGCCAGCTTCGGGACGGGCTCGACGATGGGGGGATCGATCGGCATGGGGGGCAAGCCCGTCGACTCTCGGGAGCAGCAGTCGTACGCAAAGGCAAGAAAGAAAATTGTAACAGGGAAAGCAACAACAGTTCGTACTAAATACGTAGATGATCAGAGATTCGCGGCGAAAGAATTGCGACCGAGGCTCATATATTTTTCCTGCGCAATCCGACAAAAAATTGCGATAACACCGGCGTACAAGATGTACGTAAAACGATGAAATGACACGTGTTTTTGTTTTTCACTGCTCGAGAGCTTTTGAAGAAAATGCTCAGAGAACTACTGCCGTCTGTTCTGCTTGGTGTGGATGTGGATGTACCATTGATGTTGCGTGCTGACGTGTTTGGCGAATGGTGGTTTTCCTCGTCGCCCGCTTCGTTGAAAGTCACTCACACCCTCACCAAACTGCTGTAAACTGTTGCAGGCGCTCGCCAAGCGGAAGCCGGGGACGGGCTTGACCCAGGCTGATCTCGAAGAGGTGAGTGATGCCGCCTCCGGGTTGAGCATGACACGATGCCACGCTCGTGCTATTGCTGTCCTGCTGTCGTTGTTGTTGGTTTGATGTCTTCGCACGCACCGCAACAGCAGTCGTTTTCGGTTGTTTCGGTATCACTGCTGTTGATTGTGTGACCTGCCTCTTGTGTCAGGTATACACGCCGAAAGGCGCCTGTAAACCGGCACCAGAATAGATGGGACGAAAACACACACACACGTTGACCTTGGATGACCGAGTTTCGTGTTGGAGGACTGGTATTATCTATGACCCCCCGTCACCTCCGGCTCTACCGGATCCAAGGAGCTGGTCCTTCCAAGACCGAGGCACTGACAGCAGCAACGATTATTTAGTCCATGGTGTATGTATGTCCGCATTAAAATCAGTCTCTAATACAACACCAAAGCCTTTTTGTTTTTGTCAAGTACTCCATTTGTGAGGTTGTTAAATTTTTGACTTTCGTTTTTCCTTTTGTATATACCGCTCTCTTTTCCGCGATTGACTTGTCCGTTGACGGGGGGCCCCGCAGAAGCTTGACAGCGAGCCGTTGGAGTACGAGGACCCCAACGAGGGTGTGGCGATGACGGCCATGGGCCAGGAGGATGACAGCGGCTCTTCCGAGGTACGCACGATTGTAATTGTGCCACCCGTCACTGACGGCTCGGACATGCGTTGGGGAAGAATGGGTGTTTGGTTTGGTTTGGTTTGGTTCGTAGAAGTAGCTGTTTGGTCGTAGAATAGTCAGCCGAAGGTTTTAGTCTTTCGGTTTAGTTTGGTTTTCAGGTGTCTATTGCTTTTCATGGGCTACAAGTAGGTCTGTCTTGCCGAAAAGCAAAGCCCAATCAAGACGTGCATTTAATTTACACGACACGCCAGGGATGTTTTTTTTTTTATCTTCACTTCAAATCAGCGCTGACAGCACTTGTGCCGTTTACTCCGACCCGTGGTTGCACAGAACGGTTCCTTTTTTTCATGTGCTGCGGGTTCACCATAACGGCTCAATAGTGCTACATAACTACACGAAAGGTTTCCGGTTTTGCCAGGAGACGTTGGTTGGGCTGGGTTATCTCTATGTGCGCGTCGTTTTTTTTTTTTCTAAATACGACACAACGAATGCATCCCTATCTGTAGAGAAGAGTCTAAGATAGATTAGCATTGAATCCATATGTTCGTGTCAGCAGCTGTAGTTTCCCTGTTTTAACGAAGCGTGTGGTGCCGTTTTTCGGGTAGTTGGCCTCTCACCACGGAAGGCGGTCGGCGTCAGTGGGAACGGCGGCGGCTTCGGTTTAAGAGAGACTCTTTGGGAGAGTACCCATTTAAGAGAGTCAAACTGGCTTGTCACGACCATGAGAAATGCATACAGTTCACAGTACGGTTTAAGAGAAAACAACCGGATTTAAGAGAGAAATACTGGCTTGTGACGACCCTGTCTTGAACCGTAGCCGCCACTGTAGGACGGACATTGAAAGGTTCGGGGCAGCGACAGATGGACAAGCGTTTTTCAATGCGATGACAACATCATCAACAACCACCATGACAACAAAAACAACAACAACAACAACGTGGCGTGGTGACCCCGCCCCCGTCGCAGGAGGAAGAGTCTGACGACGACAAGTCCAGCGCGGAAAGCAGCGACAGCGGCAACTCCGACTTCAGCAGCGACATCTATAGCCTCACCCTCAACGAGACCGGTCCGGAGATGGTTGTGCTCGGCACTCTCCGAAAGGTGACGGCAAAAAGACAGGGCTACAGCAGTACGATGAGCGAAAAAACTTGAGGAAAGGAAAGAGGGATGTCCAATCAAATTCAAGATAAAAAAATCTTGAGGAAAGGAAAGAGGGATGCAATCCAATTCAAGATAAACAATCTTGAGGAAAGGAATAGAGAGTGCAATTGAAGATAAAACAAACTTGAGGAAAGGAAAGGGGGTTGTTCCATCGAATTCAAGATAAAACGGCGCAGGTGCATTGGTTGTTGTTGAGCTGTTTATCGCCGCCATGTTCAGAGTACCTTGTGTACGGAGGTTTTGTTTGAGGTCCTCTTGTTCGCTCGCTCGGCGCTCTTGGTGGTGTGAGCGGACACGGAAGAGGTCGATCTCATTTTGACACGGTCGTCCACCCCTGATGTGGGTCCTACATGCGGCAAGCTCGTACGGTTTCGGATTTGGGGCGGCACATGGATCTCTGTCTGTCTGTGTGTCTGGGTCTGACCTTCCCCCCCCCTCTCTTTCTCGCTCGGTCGCTTTCTAAATACTTCCAACTTTTTGTTTTGTTTTTTCTCTCCTTCTCTCTTCTCTATATACGAAATTAACTTATTGTTTTTTGTTTTTTCTCTCCTTCTCTTTTTTCTCTGTGCACGAAATTAACTTTTTGTTTGTTTTTTTCTTTCTCTCCTTCTCTTTTTTCTCTGTGTACCGAAATCAGGACGACATCTTCGGCGTGGTGCCGTTCCTCCTGGCGAAGGACGGCGAAGCGCCCAAGTCAGGCCTGACGTTCACGGCCAAAGACCCCATTACCGTTGTCTTCTCCATCGACACTGCCGTGCTCAAGGTGTGCCTACGTAGCTGCTGCTTTTGCAGGCGCGTTTCGATGTGTTGTAGTGTTCGTTGTTTTGACTCTGTCGGTGTTGTTGTTCTTTGTTGCTGCTGCTGCTGCTGTTGTTGTTGTTGTTGTTATTTGTTGCTGCTGCTGCTGCTGCTGTTGGTGTTGTTGTTGTTGTTGTTGCTGTTGTGGCTGTTGCTGTCACTACTTTTGCTGTCTGTTGTTCTTGTGTTGCTGCTGTGGCTGCTGCTGTGGATGTTAGTTCTGGTGTTGGTACCATCATATGTGGACATCGTCATTTTTTCGACAACGCCGCGGACAGCAGTCTCATCCTCCGTAGTCTTTACTCCAATTATGGACCCAAGCGCGCGCTGTGGGTTCTGACTTGGGGTCTCGATGGCGTTTTCATGGTTGGTGGTACGACCAAGGCGGCTTGTCTTGGTTGCAACTCGGTAAACTCGGTTGGGTGTGGGACGCGACGGGAGTGGACGGTGGTATGTGTGAAACGGCATATGGCGGGGCGTGGCGTTGCATGGCAAGCCATGGTGCGCCGAAACGCGAAAAGCAAAGTATCCAACCAGACGCGATTACCGAAGCTTGAACGGACCTCCCTCGGCTCCTACATATCCGTGTGTCGCTGCTGTCGTCCCTCCCCCTCCCCCCCCCCACCGGTTGAAATCACGGACCCTCTCCTCGGCGTTGTTGCGTGCTGCGTAAAGACGGACATCCTCAAGCCCAAGAAGGACATTACCGCGGCGTTCCACAAGTACCTGGCGGTTATCCTGGGAGAGAGGACGGAAGCGGCGGAGGACGCCATGTTCACGCGGAAGGTGCGCGCATATTTTGGGTTGTGTTTTTTGTTGTGTTTGTTTTTGGTGGTATCATTGTTGATGGTGTTGTTGTTGTTGTTGTCGTTGTTGTTGTTGGTGGTGGTGGTGGTGGTTTTGGTGGTGGCGTTGTTGTTGTTGTCGTTGTTGCCTGCGTTTCTTTTTGTTGTTGTCGTCGGTGTCGGTGTCGATATGGGGTTTGCCTCGCGTGGATGATTCCGCGCCCTGGTTGTGTGTGGGCATGCATGTGTGTACGTGTAGTATTTATTGTACGTGATGGAGGGGGGATTCGAAGCGGATAAAATGTAAGCAGAACGGGTAGTCTTTCTGTGAGGTTATATGTATGTTTTCGAAACATGAGAATAATCTACAATGCACAGGCTCGCAAGAAGAGGCCCACAAGCAAGGCTTTGATACAAAAGATAATGGTTGGGTGTGTTTTGTGTTTGTGTTTGGGTATTCTTTTATCTTCAGTTTTGGGGACGTTATATTACTTCAACCGCACTTCGTATGTACGTAGAGCAGTAGGTGGCCCGGTATAGTGGCAACTCGAGTAGTGGAACTGCCGACATGGTGGCATCCAAATCTCTTTGTCACAATCTCAACATGGACATGAACCCCATATGTATCGAATAGTGGCACTGCCCTGAATAGTGGCCTAATCTCCTCTTGCCCCTAAATACATGCATTTATATCGGGCCACCTGTGCATACTCCATTCGAACTAAAAATATGAAGTAATGTTTTTGGACACCACAGGTTCACGAAAAGAGGCTGGAGGCTGCTCGGGAGGAGGAGAAGATGCTGGAGGCGAAGAGGCAGTTCGAGGAGGAGCAGGGGCCAGGCGCCGACAAGGCTCAGATCAAGTCCACTAAGGCCGCCATCGGGGCCACAGCCAAGGACCAGGTGTGTCCCTTAATATATTTACAAGGAAAATAAAGACAAAACACAGAAACACTACCGGTACCTGTTCGAGAAAGATATATAGGTAGAGGTAGGGATTTTTTTAGCTCTGGCTCAAGGGCGGCCCTCAAGCCTCACAGCTCACAGCCGCGTCTGAGAGCGAAGCGGCGGAATTAGGCCTACAGCAGAGCTCTCACACCGAAATCGACACGATAACGGTACAGAGCGCAGCTTGGCGCCGCTGAGGGCACCGTTCGGCCTCCCTCTCCCCGGAGCCCGGGGGACGACCTCTCTCCTCTCCGCAAGACGCCGCCGCCGAGGGTTCCGGGCGCCGAGCGCCGGACGAGCTGCCCGCGCCGTCCAAACCGCTCAGAACCCAAGGGGCCCTCCAAGTGGAAACCATGCAATACCCCTAATTTACGCGTCAATCTTGGTCGCGAGGGGGGAGGGGGGGGCCTTATTTGTCGCCGGAGGGGACATTTTTCACCAAATCCCCGGGGTTTCCAACATTTTCGCGCGCTTTTTCAGCGCGCGCGCACGGGATCCCACGCAGAGCTAGTGGAAATTGTGGAACACCCCCTGGTTACGCTTCAATCCTTGTCACGATGGGGGGAGGATATAGTATGACCATGCCAAAGCCTATGCTATGAATATAATTTATGGGTTTTAGAATGCGGCACGAAAACTTATATACAATGAAGATTATGTTGGTTTCACTATGGACTGCTGCAAGTGAGCCAGCCACCTAGAGTGGCGATCCTGCGTGTCAATCTTGGCCCGGGGGGGGGGGCTGGGGGGTTCCACGGTTTCCACTTGGAGGGCCCCTTGCCGAACCACGTGTTCGCACCTGCATCTGTCTGCGCCTCTGACCTCTTCGGTCGAGGCTAATAAACGCGGCTGTGATTGGACGGAACCTAAACCCTCCAAGGGTGTGTTTAGTAGAGTATTGAGAAATTGTACTACGTGTTGAGTATAGTAGAGTATCGAGATTGTCGAGATTGTACTAAAGTGTCGAGTAGAGGAGAGTATCGAGTATTGTACTAAACCTGCTCTTGGGTTTAGTCCGTTTTTATTGTTCCTTAATTGAGAGTTGTATGGTACTAAAGTGTCGAGTAGACTAGAGTATTTTCCACCGATACTCTACCGTACCTGAGTAGAGTACTTGAAAAATGTCCTATCATCTACTCGGGTAGAGTAGAGTATTGAGGGCCGTTCTAAAGATACCCGAACCTCGAGTAGAGTATCGAGACCTGTACTAAAGATACCCGAGCCTCGAGTAGAGTATCGAGACTTGTACTAAAGATACCAGAGCCTCGAGTAGAGTATCGAGAGCGTTACTACACCTACCCGCGAGGAGAATACCCGACCCGTGGGTACCGGGTAACCTTCACCTACCTGTTCAAACCTTCCACCTTTACCTCTTCATACATACTTTCATCAGTATGTATACTTACACTTATACTTACACTTGTATATGATACACATGTATATGTATGATGTATGATATGTATACGATTAGTCTATATACGTGCACACGAACATCAGGACGTATGATATGTTATTGTTGTCATGTTGAGTTTTATCATCCAGTTCTAGTTTCAAGTACGCTTGCACTTCAACCACAACCACCACCACCACCATGCACCTGTAACAGGCGTCTCAGCTCAAATTCTGACCTAAATCATAAAAATTCGCTGTTGCTCTGCTGATGATGCACCCGCATCGGGAGATGCGGGTGAACTATTGCTATTGCTATCATTGGCGGGTTCACTCATTGCTGCCACCTCCCCTGGTCGGTGCTCGGGTAGGCCAGGGCAGCGTACTCTGCGCACCGGGTATACTCGTACTCTGCGTATTCAGCAGTACTCTGTCCTTGTGCAATTGCATCGCTGTTTCCAAAGTATGACGTCACCAGCAAGCTCTTTGGTCGGGTACCGGGTAGATACCCGGGTGGACGGGTAGATACCCGGGTGAATACCCGAGCAAGTACACCAGTAGGGTACGGAGGGTAGACTATATCTACCCGAGGGTAGAGTAGAGTATCGAGTATTGTACTAAAGTGTCGAGAAGGGGAGAGTATCGAGTATGTACTAAACCTGCTCTTGGGTTTAGTAGAGTAGAGTATCGAGATTGTACTAAAGTGTCGAGTAGACTAGAGTATTTGAAAAGTATCCGATCATCTACTCGGGTAGAGTAGAGTATTGAGGGCTGTACTAAAGATACCCGAGCCTCGAGTAGAGTATCGAGACCTGTACTACAGATACCCGGGCCTCGGGTAGAGTAAAATACCGAGGAAATACCCGAGAGTACCTTTAGTACGTACCCTACTAAACACACCCTTGAAACCCTCTGTCGGTGTTTTTTTGAGGATTTGAAAAGTTTCCACAGAACTCGGAACTCGGAACACGTGTTCTAGCAAAGCAAGCAAGCACATCTGTCTACTACCTGCTGTGTATGTACGAAATGGTACGTTAGCACTTGCGACACCATTGAAACTGCTGTTGTAACATTGCTACCTTGCAATGTGCGTACCACCAAGCGGGCGAACATCTCTCCCAAAGATTGTGAAAAAAATGGCAGCCTGTCGGATGATCCGATAATCAATTGTGCCTCTTGGAACTCGGAACATCTCTTTTGTTGCATTAAATGAACCAAGTTCATTTAATGTTAACGAACAAACCATGTAACTACATGTAGGGAACGCGTGAAACACAGGCTCTTCGGTGGCAATTGACGGCGTGGTGGGATGTGTGTGATCACTCTCGGGCATGTAGCTGCCACAGGTGCTGCATGCTGCCGGTTCAAAGCGATTTAGGCATTTGACACCATCATTCAGGTGTCTCGAATGCAAAGAAACGGCGGCGGATGCTCTCTGGTGTAGCCGTTGTACATATTGGGGAAGATGCCGTTCAATACGACAAGCTGCCTTTGACCGCAACTCAAGAAGCAAGCCTTCCAGAACACTCTCGAGCGTGCGACTTGCACGATGAGCACCGCCTGCCCTAGCGGATGCCTGGCACTAGATGGTAAATGTGTGAATGGTGTGCGCTCTCGTCAACAATTTCCTTCAAAACCCACAGCATCACTCCTTTTTCCTGTACAAACCACCTCGCTCTTTCTGCCTCTTTCGGTTTCGGTTGCGTTTGTTTCCTCCGAGTAACCTGCCGCGTGCTGCGGGCCGCAGAGTGACACGCTGACAGGTTACGTGAAAATGTGGTGTACATACGTATATAAGGACACGGCGACATGGAGCGGGGGCCAGGGACTTCCGAGTTCCCTGCCCCCTGCTCCCTGTTTGGTGTAGGACGTTAGTTCCTACGCGCCCTCACAATACGTATGCACCCACCACACACCGCGGCTGAAGCACAGCCACGTCTCGCGCATCCGTAGAAAAATCCCCCGCCATGGCCCAATCCCCCCCGCATGTATGTGAAAGCACAGCAGTAGCAACTATCATACCCAACAACATTGAGTCGTGAGAGCCTTTGGCGATGTGCTCTTCTTCTTGCCCTTGGAAAATCTCTCTCGTTGAACGCACATGCAGAAATATGAAATACGTGATGGCAGATGGGACTCTTTGCTGTTGGAAACGCAACAACGTCTAGAAACGCACCCGCCATGGCCCAATCCCCCCCGTACATATGTGACAACAGCAGTACAGCAGTAGTATTAACAGACCTGGTGCACACGAGGTCTCTGGCTACGCACTCTCTCACACGATGATGAATTGGTTGAAAATATCGCAAATTGATATGCATGAAAGAAACAAGATAAAGATGGTACGAAAGGATTTGCTTCAGCAGTAGCAGCAGCAGCAGCAGCAGCAGCAGCAGCAGCAGCAGCAGCAGCAACAAAGAGCGGGGTCGAGGTGTTGGTGCTTGTGACGCGGTCGGCAAGAAACTCTCGTAACGATATTTATGGCGTCTTTCGCAGGACCAGAATAGATGCGCATAGGGCGGTGGACGAGGGGAGGAAAGCGGAACATGCGAGACTGCTGTGAGACCTGTGATTCATGAAAGAAATTGCCCACGCGTCACGCAAGGACGGTTGGGCGCTGTTTGCGCTGTGCTGCTGTCCTTCTCCACACCGCGCTGCCCAATGGGCTCTATCTAAGTATTAGTTGTGTCCGCAACCATTGTTCACTTACGCCGGCGGAAGCGCTGCTAGGTGCCGATCGTCTGGCGGTACTGCTGATGTAGCAGAGGGCGGAGTGTGTCGGCCGTTGGTGCTGCAGTTGGGAGCGGGGAGAGCGGGCGCAACAGCTGCAGTCGTGAAGATCCTTATCCTTCCTCTGATGAAATCACCATCGGCTGTCGGGGGCAGAAGTGCCCTCGCATGATTTCATCGGGATGGAAGAGGGCAGGGTTAGGGATACGGTCTGCGTACCCCTTGCCTGTTCTATGTACCCATTTCTCGCGAAGGTGGTCAATTTTACTTTATGGCGTTTTCTCGTGCATACATGATGGGGCGTCCAAGTGCGCACGAGCTTGACCTTCTCTCTCTCTCTCTCTCTCTCTCTCTCTCTCTCTCTCTCTCTCTCTCTCTCTCTCTCTCTCTCTCTCTCTCTCCGATCTTGCCTCTTTTTGTTGTCCGGTGACCTCGCAGGCTGTTCGCAACATGTTCAGCTTCTCTGCTTCGGAGACCATTCTCGGAGAGTTTGCCAAGACCCGCTACACTTACTTCGACCAGGAGGAAAAGAAGGTAAGTAATGTACAATGACCCACCATGCTAAAGATGTGTACGTAAGTTCACCTATTTTTTGGACCAGCAGGAAACGAAGGTGTTGCGCCATCACAACATAATTTAACCGCGGGGCTAGGTGCACCCTTAGTCTGTACACCTACTTGAATCCAGGAGGAAAAGAAGTGTTGTGGTCTGCCCGCTTACCATTTGTAGCAGTACAGCAGTATGTTTCACCGTGGGGTTATGTGACTCTCTCTATGCACCTACCGTATATGACACAAGATAACACACCCCCTTGACCGATTTTCAAAGCTCGATTTCTCAACAGCAGGAAGAGTCACAGCGCCGAAAACGGCGGCGTTGGAACCATCTCGTCGAGAGCTGTTCGAAAACGTATTGTTTCATTTATGCATCCTCTTCGTCGTGGAGTAATCGAGCTTTGAAAATCGGTCCAGGGGGTGTGTTATCTTGTGTCATATACGGTAGTTCGGCCACGAGGAAAATAAAGAATAAGGTATGGTTTACCATCGCAAAATCTCAAGCCGTGGGGTTGTGTGCACCTTCATACACCCACCAGGAGGAAAATAAGGTGTTTTTGTACGTACCATATGCAACATTTTTCACCTATTATAAGGGGTTACGAGCACCTGTACATGTATTGTTGGCCTGTTAATTTTGGGATTTGGGAAAGAACCTGTCTTCTTTTTCATTTTTGGTTCTGGGCACGAGACGTTTCGAAACGACGCAGAAATGCGGCGAGCGGCGTTCCCCGTTTTTGCTCGCGGTGTGCGAACCATTTATGCACCCTTTCCGATAGAATGCCTCCTCATTTATAGCCCCCCCACCCCCCCCCCCCACCACCCCCCCGTGTTTTGTTTCATCTTTGTCTATGTCGAACACTCAAAAATATATATAGGAGGTGCGCATCCAGGGAACCTTCTACATCACGGACCACTACTTCGCGTTCGTGGGCAAGAAGACGGTGGACCTGAGCCACCTGGAGATCAACCGGCAGTTCAGGGACGTGATGCGACACGACGAGGTTATCACCATCAAGCGACACACCAAGTCCACCAAGGCGCTCGTCTTCACGGATATCGGCCAGGTATGTTTGGGTGCCGTACGTGGTAAGAGGGTCTTCGGTATGTTTAGTACCGTACCGTGTGCGCGGTAGCGGAAGGGCGGGTCTTTGATGTATTATTATTCAACCTACAGCAGTATTGCTTACGGGTCTCTTCTTGTGACGGCGGCGTCGGACAGGGTTTGGTTTTGGTGCGCTACGTGTATGTGTGTGTTTTTTTGCCGTGGGCGGTAGGCTTGGTCTCCTCCGCTGCTGAGATGTAGGAGACGTGGTTTGTCTGCGAAGGCATCAGGTAGACCCTCGCCGCTGTTGCGTAGCTCGCCTGCCTACAGCTGTCACCACACCTACGGCCCCAGGAGGCAGTTGTCACGGCACGCGTGCAGCATGTGACCACCGCACTCAAGCAAACAACAATCATGTTGCGGAGCCCCCCCCCCCCCCGCCGACCACCCACCCATCGTTTCTCCGCGCACACGGCAGGACTAATGCTTACCATAGCCAAGCGATACTCGATGCCACAACGAGTGCGATACGACCGTCTCCTCCATATTTTTGTTTGGTTTGTGCTACGTGCGTTGTCAAAACAGGGGCGCAAGATGCTGGAGGCGAAGACGGAGGCGGAGAGGGATAACCTGTACGCCCAGTGCAACTCCCGGTGGAAGAGCGAGGACGAGGTGACCTCCCGCGAGATGCGGAAGGTGCTGCGCCGCAAGATGACCCGCCTGAGCCTCGACCACCTCAACCAGGTGTGTTCTGTGTCTTCTTTTTGTTGCTGTTGACATCGACGGCGTTAATCGGCTGGCCAATGAAAAGAAGTGTGTGTATTTATTAAGTATTGGAATCGACCGCGCTAACCTGTTGACCAATGAAAAGACGTCTGTTTTAGTGTCAGTCTCAGTGTGTGTGTCTTTGTTATTGGCATCGACCGCGCTGACCGGGCTGGTCCATGAAAATATGACAAGTCTCATTGCGGTTGAAAACAGAAGTACTGTTGTGAAAGCCATGATCCGGGACCCCGTGAAGGGGCTTCGTGCGGGAGGGTGCCGTCGTGCGAGTGATTGATTTTCTTGTCGGTGCGACCTCTGCAGGTGGTGCTGCAGCAAAGGATGACGGACTCAACCGTCTTTTTTTTTTTTTTCAGTACTTGCTTCCGGCGACATCGGGAGATATACCTCTGAGTACCCAAGCATGGTCGGTTCTACTCTCCATTTAGTATCTCGGCACATGTTCTATCGCTTCTCACTCTGTTGTAGACACAACACTGTTGTTGTTCCAAATTGGCATGTCCGCGGTATTTAGAAATATGGTGCCGGTAAATGTATAATGCCGGTCGCCCGGTATAGTGGCGGTGAAATCGTGTGGCACAGATGGAATATTCAAGTTGTTTCATACTCTGAATAATGCCGGTTGCCCGCTATAGTGCTGGTGATATCGGCTGGATCTCACCGGCAATATACCGGGGACCATTACTACTCTAGCCATTTTTATCGGCTAATGCTCGCTCGCCGCCCCCCGCACCGGCTGTGCCGTCCTCGCTCCCGTTGCCCGTGTCTGCAACTTATGCCTGTGCTCCCCTTTTCCGTTCTGCGCCCCCCTCCCCTCCCTCTGTCGTTGCGTCAGGCCGAGACGATGACCCAGAAGGGCATTGGTGCCCTGATGACGGACATGAGCGAGCGGGAGAAGAAGACGCTGTTCGCGGGGAGCGTGCCGATCGGCCTGAACCGGAACCAGGTGGTGATCGGCGAGCTGTACTTAAACGACAACCAGTACCTGCTGTGCACGGGCATCGTGCG